ACGTCAATTTTGACATATTTGTAATCGTCGTGAAAAATCCTTTAAAATGAGTCCAAACATGATACGTTTAATTCCAATATTACTCGAGATATAAGCAACTTCCGGTTTGAAATGTCAATGTCATTTTGACATATTCTTAATTTTTATAAAATGTCTTAATATTTGTCACAAAAACAAAAATATAACAAAAAAAAAAAATAAGAAATTAAGGTTGGTATTAATATTTAAAAATTAAATTGCTATTTTCATTGTTGCCAACTTCGGGTTTAATGTTTTTTATTCTAACTTTTTTGTTTTTTGAGATAAGTGCTTCATGTTTGGACTCATTTTAAAGGTTTTTTAATGATGATGACAAATATGTCAAAATTGACGTTGACGTTTCAAACCGGAAGTGATTGTATAAAGTTAAATATGTCGAGTTTGGACTCATTTTAAAGGATTTTTTATGAAGTTGACAAATATGTCAAAATTGAGGTTGACATTTTAAACCTGAAGTTAGTTATCATGTAATTGAAGTTTTATAACTGAATAATAGAATAAAGTCCCACCTCAACGTTGACTAAATACTTAGAACTGATTCTGAACTCTCTGGAATCAGTTACCTAATATGTGCTGCATCTTTTTCTACCAACTTGCAAAATTTGTACAAGTTTATGCTAATCTCTCAACATTTTCCGCAATGTTTTACGGAGATAATAAGCAATAATACTCTGGTCTAGCCAACTGAGTTCCTATTTCATTTAGATTATGACGAAATCTTCCTTTTGACTTATTGATTTTTTTTGTTGGAAAAACTATCTCTCGGCTTCAGACGCACTTTGTGTTAGTTCTAGTTTTACACTAGCACTATCACTAGAACTAACACAAGACCCAGAACTAGAATCTGAATGATTCTTGTTTTAGGTCTAGTGTTAGTTCTAGTTTTAGTGAAATAAAAATATGCAACATAGTGAACATACAACTGTCGTTTGTAAAATGATGAAAGATATTAAGTCTCTGAAGATGGCCAAGGGCCAAAACTAGTTAGACTTAAATTCTATATAAAATAAAATACATAACCTTTTAATTTTATACCAACAACGTTTCAATAACAAAACAATTTACATTAAAACTCGACTTTTTCTAATTAAAATCAACTCGAACATTCCTAGGTAGTGAAAACAAATTCCTTGAAATTAACGTTCAAACAAACAACGCGCTCGATTCGTTCTGTACAACTAAACTCGTCAATCAAGCGGCCGGCAAAATGTTTCCGCGAAATTATCATGCACTTTGCTCGCGAATCGGTTTTTGAAACCTTAAAAATTACGCTCCGTCCTAGAATTTCTTAGTTGAATAAAAATTCCCGTAAAAGCAGACTTTGATTTCGTGCGAAATTATATTTTATGCGGATTGAAGTATTATGTAGGCGTAGATTTTGTGTTTTGGTCCAATTTTCGTAACGCATAATATGTGTCCAAAAAGGGACTGGTTAGGTTGCTGCTGGTGTATTTTACAGCGGAAATTAACTCGACAGGTGTGTGCTGTAGCTAAATGTAATGCAACGTGGTGCGCATTTTAAAATAATATCACGCGAGTGTTATACGATCAGGTTTGGCTAATAGTTTTTAATATATAGGTGGTTCCAAAGATTGATTACAACTACATTACAAAGGAACTAAATGTAATTTGATAATCTGTTGCTGATAATTCCCAGTATTAAAATTGTCTAGCTGACGAAGACAGCTAATGCAAAAAAAACACCTTTCAGCATTGCCTTTGTTAAAAAAATGCAGGAAGCTATCAAACTACATTGACACACATATCATAGGTTGACTTACGTCATTCAAAATGTATTGTCAGAAAGGAGACAAAATACAGATAGATAAATTGAGGTTGATCTTGAAATCTCGGAGAATGTTGGAAAAAGATCTCCTTCTAAGATGAATTGAAATATGGGCAACAAATTAAGACTAAGATTATTATAGAGGGAGTGAGAAGTCGGACTGCAATAACAATTACAACACAGTAAGTGTAAATAGAGAATTAATAATAATAAGAATAGTTGTGGAAATGTACAGATACAAGACTTAAGACAAGAGTTGAGGTAATAACGTAAGCATTAAAAAGAAATGTCACCAATAGGAATGCAGACTTTATAACGCAACTATGTTAATAAACTGTAAAAACAACAAAAAGATGGGAAACTGAGGAGGGAACCAGGAATACCGAAAGATAGATAGGGGAGGAAAGGAAAAGATGTCAAAAAATACTAGTTATACTAGAGAGCGCTGGATTCAAAACCACCAATAAACAAAATACTCGATAAGGAGCAAAAGATGTGTCAGCGATAGTTGATGAAGAACAGAAACAGTGATTGCCAAAAATAGTGTACGATCAGATACAGATACAAACCAACCTCATTATTCCGTAATTTAGACTCTTAGCAATCCATTCTCACTTTGTATCTAACTCACTACACATTTCTTCTCCTCTATAGCCACACTTCGCATTTATCAGACGAAGCGATTGACATTACGGTTACAAATAATATGATATTATTACAAAAGATAGTTTTCTATCATATTACAGTAATCCGTTATAGCTGTTAGATGTATCAATGTAAAAAATACATTGAGCTGGTTACACAAAACTTGATCAACCAGCACTCCGAATTCCTCGCCCGTAGTCTCACCCGTACAAAATTATGGTAGGTTAAAGACTCCTTCTTACAGACTACCGTTAACGTGAGCAATTCAATATCTAAATGCTGCAAATCTGAAGAATGAAGATGTGGTGGTCTCAAAGAAAATAAAATGGCGATGAGATTGCGATGAACTTTCTGAAAGTGCTTTTCCTTGAGGGTGGTGTTCTTTGGTCTGTGCGAAGTCATGAAAAACTTTCACAACCTGGGGAGTGCATTGCGACCAAGGGTTGTCATTGAATCAAATTTTTTGAGTTTTTTTACACATTGTATTTGTGACCAACCTAATATTAATTTTGATCGCCTCGATATACAATAGGTATATCAAAATAACGAGGTTTTGTCTTTATCCTTATTTGATATAACTCTTTTCGCAGCTTGTGACGTTTATGGTTAACACTTAACACTTTATATAAAAATTACATTTAGGGATGTTTTTAGGGATATACAGAATGGAACAAAAGTCTGGAAACGTCTAATATTGTCGTAGATGACCAGCTAAATACTGCCAAATTTGCTTTTTTAAGAAAGGCCCAACTACTACTGAGTACTTATATCCGAAAATACATTTAATTTTTGTGACCTTTGAGTTTTTCCAATTTTCTTCTCAGTATCTCTATGTCAGATCTTTACTCGGTAATGCATATTATCTTTGCTTATTCGGCTTAATCGTAGATTAAGAAATAATTAGAACACCATAAATTATATATATTGCATCATCATGAAAACAAACATCATTGTCTCTAGATAACCGCATTGATGTTTTTTTTTTGAAGACTTTAAACTTTTAATCTAGTTATAAACAAAATTAAGAAAATTGAAAAATGTTGTTAAGGAAACGTTTTTAATTCCCATTTTGTAATTTGCGTTTGCCCGAACAAAACTGCATGTTAATTGATTTTACAAGCGAATATATTCACCAGTAATCACCTCGATTAGATAAACGTGCGCTTTTTTTTCTCGTGACAACAAAATTATTCTGTAAATTTCCATTCGAATCATTTTTTTTTTATTTATTTATTTTCATTTTATTAATGATTAAATATTTTCGTTGCGATTCATTTTTATTTTAGCATTACACGTGCTTGACTTAATCTTTTTATCCGTTGTATGTGAGGTTTTTTTTTCTAAACGATGCCAAACCGTTCGTCTTTGGTTTGTCGACACCTGTTCGACTTAAAATAATTATAACAACGTCCCGAATCGTCGCCACAACAGGCGGCGACAGCTGGGATTGCTACAATTTATGATCCCCTCGAAATGTTTTACTCATTTTAATTGGTTTTAGTTTAAGTAGTTGAAAGCGAAACCGTTTTGCGAATTAATCATTGCGGTGAAAGTTGTTTTGGTTTGAAATTAATCTTTAAATTCATTCTTTATTGTTTATAATTTGTGTCTTTTTGTTCTAGGTTTGCATTTAAGGGGCACAGAGGACGCTCGCTTGCAAAGGGAATGTACAGGAACAGAACCGGATCCGGGCAGGACGAAGAGGAACTGCTACGATCCGGAATATGCGCGGATGGAGTCTTGGTTAGACGAGCATCCGGACTTCGTGCAGGACTATTTTCTGAGGTACGAACGATTTCAACTGACCTTGAGCCGATTAATCGTTTCCTCCGCAATTGAAAAATTCCTACTCCCAACAGTGCAGGAACGTAACCGCATTCCCAAAAGTCTTGAAATCATAAATGAAAATTTCGGAATTTCACTGCATTATAACATTTCATTTTCGTTCAAAATATTTCATATTTCGATATCTTATTTATTTCAATATTTACATTAGTTTAGGCCGTACGTCTCTTAAGACGGCTAAATAAAAATGTTTTTAGTTCTAGGTCTAGTGTTAGTTCTAGTTTTATATCGTTAGAACTAACACTAGACCTAGAACTAGAAAATATCGGGTTTAGCCGTGCATTAAAATCAAAATAACTCGAAAACGAAAAACGCTAGGTATCAATAACTTTTATCAAAGTCAACTTATTTCCTCGCATATAATTAAAAGGTGCAAAAACTATAGCATTCCATTTAAAATAACGAAGCTGTGGTCTACTTCTGGGGGACCGGAAGTGGCCACCATCTTGAAAATACTTTAGATCGAAAGATCGGTATGAACCTTCCATTATAAACTAAATTTCAGAAACGTAGACTCAATGGAAGAGAAATGAAACGGGTGTTGCTGACTTTTTGGCGGACACTGTATATTGAAATGATCTTAATAGGAATCAAAAATGCTTTAATTTGATACCAAATATGATATATTTGGGTTAAAAAATAAAAAAGTTAGGTTAAAAAGTGTCAAATGTCAAAATTAAATACAACGATTTTTTGATAAACATTAAAATAATCTTATTAAGAATCAAAAATGCTTTAATTTGATACCAAACATGATATATTTGGATTAAAGAATAAAAAAGTTAGGTTAAAAAGTGTCAAATGTCAAAATTAAATATAACGATTTTTCGATAAATATTGAAATGATCTTAAGAATCAAAAATGCTTTAATTTGATACCAAACATGATATATTTGGGTTAAAAAATAAAAAGTTAGGTTAGAAACTGTCAAATGTCAAAATTAAGTAGAATGATTTTTTGATAAACATTGAAATGATCTTAATAAGAATCAAAAATGCTTTAATTTGATATCAAACATGATATATTTGGGTTAAAAAATAAAAAAGTTAGGTTATAAACTGTCAAATAATCGCCATTTTTTTTTTGCTAAACATTAAGATATTTCGATAACTGTTGGAGATAAATAGGTCGAGTTTGGGTTCATTTTAAAGGATATTTAATTTTCTATCCATTAATGTTAAAGAAAACAACTTTATAACTACAAAATTTGAATGTTTCAAAACCCCAAAATTTCCAGTTCTAGGTCTAGTGTTAGTTCTAGTTTTAATTGTTAATCAACGCTAGATTGTTGAGCTATAACTTGAATTAACACTAAACCTAGAACTAGAATCATTCGGGTTTAGCCGTCTAAAGAGACGTACGGCTAAACCCGAATGTTTCTAGATCTTGGTTTAGTGTTAGTTGTAGTTTCATATCACTAGAACTAACACTAGACCTAGAACTAGTTAGTGAATTGGCGTTAAGAAATCTTAATAAGAATCAAAAATGCTTTAGTTTGATACCAAACATGGTATATTTGGGTTAAAAAATAAAAAAGTTAGGTTAAAAAGTGTCAAATGTCAAAATTAAATACAACGATTTTTTGATAAACATTAAAATAATCTTATTAAGAATCAAAAATGCTTTAATTTGATACCAAACATGATATATTTGGGTTAAAAAATAAAAAAGTTAGGTTAAATGTCAAAATTAAATACAACGATTTTTTGATAAACATTAAAATAATCTTATTAAGAATCAAAAATGCTTTAATTTGATACCAAACATGATATATTTGGATTAAAGAATAAAAAAGTTAGGTTAAAAAGTGTCAAATGTCAAAATTAAATATAACGATTTTTCGATAAATATTGAAATGATCTTAAGAATCAAAAATGCTTTAATTTGATACCAAACATGATATATTTGGGTTAAAAAATAAAAAGTTAGGTTAGAAACTGTCAAATGTCAAAATTAAGTAGAATGATTTTTTGATAAACATTGAAATGATCTTAATAAGAATCAAAAATGCTTTAATTTGATACCAAACATGATATATTTGGGTTAAAAAATAAAAAAGTTAGGTTAAAAAGTGTCAAATGTCAAAATTAAATATAACGATTTTTCGATAAATATTGAAATGATCTTAAGAATCTCAAATGCTTTCATTTGATACCAAACATGATATATTTGGGTTAAAAAATAAAAAAGTTAGGTTATAAACTGTCAAATAATCGCCATTTTTTTTTTGTTAAAAATTAAGATATCTCGATAACTGTAGGAGATAAATAGGTCGAGTTTGGGTTCATTTTAAAGGATATTTAATTTTCTATCCATTAATGTTACCTCCTAGTTTTGGTGCAATAAAACTATGCAACATAGTGATATCTTATGCTAATTAGTGCTATCTACCACTGTCACTAGAACTAACATTAGACCTAGAACTAGAATCATTCGGATTTAGCCGTCTTGAGAGACGTGCGGCTAAACCCGAATGTTTCTAGTCCTAGGTCTAATGTAAGTTCTAGTGACAGTGCAAATGTAAAACTAGAACTAACACTATACCTAGAACTAGAATCATTTGGGTTTAGCCGCACGTCTCTGAAGATACACTCTACATAGTAACAGTGCTAGTGTAAAACTAGAACTAACACTATACCTAGAACTAGAATCATTTGGGTTTAGCCGTCTTTAGAGACGTGCGGCTAAACTCAAATGATTCTAGCTCTAGGTATAGTGTTAGTTCTAGGTTTAGTACAAGTAAAATATGTAACATAGTAATATCTAGTACTAATTAGCGCTACTTAGAATTGTCACTAGAACTAACACTAGACTTAGAACTAGAAACATTCGGGTTTAGCCGTTTTAAGAGACACGCGAGTGTCTCTTAGTGTTTTTTTTTAGTTTTATTATTCAACGTTGTTAGATTGTTGTAAAGACAAAAATATCGAATTTTCGTTCAAAATATTTGATATTTTCTTTTAAAAATGTGTTCTTTATATTTGTCGTAGAAAAGAAAATAACGCTGAAATATTTATCAACTCGCTTTTCATCAATTTTCTAGTTGGCAAAAAACTCAACAGAAGGAAAAATATTTCCTTCGACGAACTTTAATCTCAAAAGTCAATTTTAAACGTACGTTTTCCAAACGAAGACTTACTGCAACACCGTAAATAGAGAAGATCCATTGAAATGGAAACCAAAATGAATGGAGACAGTCGTCAGTCACTTACCAGTTCAAATACGACCCGTTTATTCCCGGGACGCTCTCCAAAAAATTACTCGATAAAATCGAGTACAGATGTTCGTTCCCAACTCGACTCGACTCGACTCAGACGAGGAAAAATATCTTTTTTCATCCCCAAATATATATCATCGAGATTTATTTTATTTTCTTGTTTCAAATATAAAAGAAAAATCTTCAGTGTAATAGCACTTTAGACAATAACCAGTGCAAACGTGGAGTAAAAAATGCGGAAAGCGTTCGTGTCCCTGAATACAAATTAACGTTTTAGCCAAAACAGCTCCCCCAAAAAGCGACTCGCTTGAATTCCAAATAAACAAAACGAAACGTTGAGTCGAAAAGATTTAATTGTCCGTTCTCTTTCCACTTTCCAAACAAAACTCAATTTTCATTTAAAGACTTCTTAGATTTCTAGTTAATCCTTTTTTTGCGTCATTAAAGTTCAACGTAATTTAATTGGTAGTGAAAAAACTGGTGAACCGTTAGGTGTCGCTAAAAATATCAAGCTTTTACCAGATATTTTTAGATTTAAGGGGTCATGTAACTTTTTTAATAAAAAAATTTCTGTGTGGGGTGAACTACAAAGACCTTTTAAAAACGGAGTACGTTTTAATAAGTGTGTAATGTATTTTTTTTTGAATTATTACGCTTTTGATCTGTAAACGCGTTAACTATTCATAACTCTCACAGCGCCGTACTAAATCAAACCAAATTGTTTATTTGGCAAGTCGCGCATCCCTAACCTCAATAAATAACCAAAAGTATTCCGGAAAATCCCATTTAAACTTCGCCTCTCTGTTCTTATTAATAACGATCGTTGCCAAAAGAACAAAAGCATTTTTTAACATTATGAATGAATTTATAAATTTTTTTTGACAGAAAAGCAAGCAGACAAGTGGTAGATTCCTGGTTACTATCTCACACGACTTTAACATCATCCAGTGCGGAATTAGCGTCACCAACTCACAATAACCAGTCGAGGGGTGGTTCAGGCGCTACAACTCCAGTTCGAAAAATTTCCGCCCACGAATTTGAAAGGGGGGGCCTTTTAAAACCGATTATTAGCACGATCGACGGAACGCCAACATTTCTAACGGGGGCCACAGAGGAACAAGGCACCTCAGGGGGACACAGCCCTACACCATCGCGACGACAAAGACGATCGAGACACGAACTGAAACAGCTAGACGAAAAGGAGTTGATATTTGAGTTGGTAAGGAAAAAAATTTAAATATATTGACTGATTCTCAATGGAAATCATAGGGGAAACCCCACGTCATTTCGCATCGGAAAAAGAGCGATAAAACGGTTCACAAAGAGCTTCGAGTTGAAATTCACGATGCCTCGCCAAGGCCGAGACCTGATTCGTACGCGCGATGAATACTATCTCGGGTTCCATTAGAATAAAGTAAATCAATGCCCGATGATATTGACGAAATGGGGGGTCTGAATGAATCGTTCGGAGACAAATTTGACCAATTTATTATAAATCAAGTTTCATCGTAAATCAAAAATATCACATTCGAAGTATAACGAAAAAAAAGTATATGTGTAAAGATAAATTTACAAAAGGAAGCTCTCAATTCCATGTCTTTGTGGTTATTTTATATACAGGTCGCTGATGTGTATGGAAACGATCGGTTATCTCTTAAAGTAGCAAAAAAACCACAAGTTACAAAAGTTTTAGTGTTTTTTTTAAATCTATTACAATAAAAACAAATTAAGTATACAGGGTCAGTCAATAAGTTATGACGAAACCAAGTTGTGTTTTCTTTAATGGAACACCCTGTATATTATACCATATTTATAATAATTCATCTCGAAATTCTAAACAAAATTCATGTAGCACATCGTTAACCTAAACTTAACCGTTTTCGAGATATTGAACTTTGAAAATTACTCTTATAAATTACACAAAAATATTTTTGTCGATTATGTTCATAATTCATCAAGGTACCTTTGAAAGTTTCTCATCTCCATAGCAACGCAGTGACATAACACATGTTTAAATAATTTGTACCCAAAGATAAATTACGTCACTTATTAGATAAATTCGTAAATTTGTAAAAGCTCGATATCTGGAAAACGGTTAAGTTAAGGTTTATTATTACATGAATTTTAGAATTTCGAGATGAACTGAAATATGGAATAATATACAGGGGTATTCCATTAAAGAAAACGTAATTTTGTTTCGTCATAACTTTTTGACTGACCCTGTATATACACGTAACTTGTCATTATTGTAATAAAATTAGATTTTAAAAAAACATTAAAACTTTTTTATCTCAAGATTTTTCGCTAGCTCTCTTACTTTAGGACATAATTGATCGTTTCCATACATATCAGCGACTCTGTATATTATTTCTTTCTATATACAGGGTGTTTCTAAATTGATGCGAAAGATTTCAAGGGGTGATTTTTCAGCAAAAGTTAAGGGGGTCTCTAAAGTTAGGAGAAAAAATTGTTTTTAATTAATAAATCCACTATGGAGGAATTTAGAAGAATGAAATTTGGCAGATAACTGTTGTTAATGAAATGATACGATTTTTGTAATCCTAAAATGTTATTACAAGGTGGTGAAAAAATCAACCCCTACAATACTTTGCATCAGAACTTTTTAATGCGTCCACATTTTTCTATTTAAAATTTCTCCTAAAATTGTTAGTTTGATCACAAAAAAATAAAATAATACACAGGTTGGTTATGGTTATTATTAGTCAAAGAAATGAAGTCATGTCAAATTGATTTCAGCATTATTTTATTTTTTGTGATCAAACTAACAATTTGTTAGTTGTAAAATGTCAAGAGATAAGAAAGTTGCACTTTTTTCCTTAACTTTAGAGGGCTATAACTTGGAGGAATCATCAATTTAGAAACATCCTGTATAATAATATATATGTATAGATTAAACTGTAATATATGCAGACTTTAGATAGCAACAATTCCAATTATGACGAATTTGCTATCATCTAAAGCAGGGCGCAAAATATTTTCGTGGGACTTTGTAGATCATTAAGTTTTTTTTTATTGACCATAACGCTATGGTTTCATCTTTGACGAAATGGTGACCAAGATTCCACAACTTCGAACAGAATATTACGATCAGTGAATGAAGCTGAAGGGTTTTTAGCAAAAACGTTGTTAACATCTTGCCCAGGATTGAATTAAAACTCGAAATAACACTAAACCTAGAACTAGAAACTTTCGAATTTAATCGGACGTCTTTTAGACGGCTAAATCCGAATGATTCTAGTTCTAGGTTTAGGGTTAGTTCTAGTTTTAATTGTTAATCAACGCTAAATTGTTGAACTAAAACTAGAACTAACACTACACCTAGAACTAGAATCATTCGGGTTTAGCCGTCTTAAAAGACATTCGGCTAAATCCGAATGATTCTAGTTCTAGTTTTAGTGTTAGTTCTTGTTTTAGTGCTAGTTTTAATTATTGTTCAGCGTTAGTGTATACTTTTATTGAATTAAAACTAGAACGAACACTAGACCTAAAACTAGAAACATTCGGGTTTAGCCGAACGGCTCTTAAGACGGCTAAACCCGAATGATTCTAGTTCTAGGTCTAGTGTTAGTTCTAATGATATAAAACTAGAACTAACACTAGACCTAAAACTAGAAACATTCGGGTTTAGCCGAACGGCTCTTAAGACGGCTAAACCCGAATGATTCTAGTTCTAGGTCTAGTGTTAGTTCTAATGATATAAAACTAGAACTTTTTAGTTCAACAATCTAGCATTGATTAACAATTAAAACTAGAACTAATACTAGACCTAAAACTAGAAACATTCGGGTTAGCCGAACGGCTCTTAAGACGGCTTTCCCGAAAACCCGAAACTTTCTAGTTCTAGGTCTAGTGTTAGTTCTAGTTTTAATTATTAATCAACGCTAGATTGTTGAACTAAAACTACAACTACTGCTAAACCTAGAACTAGAATCATTCGGGTTTAGCCGTCTTAAAAGACATTCGGCAAAACCCGAATGATTCTAGTTCTAGATTTAGTGTTAGTTCTAGTTCTAGTTTTCAGCAGAAACGTTGTTAATATCTTGCTAAAAAAGCCCCATTTAGGTTGATAACGAAAATATTCATCTATGTCTATTGTAAAGCATATTATACAGGGTGTCACACAAAAAACGCCCCAAGCTGTAACTCTGTCATTTATATTCCGATTTTCATGACCGAGGCATCAAATGAAATGGTTTGATGAATACTATGGTTCATGCTACAAATAATTTTTTTTCAAAGCCATCTTCAATTTTAAGCAATTATTAACTTTTGTTTTTCAAATTGCTCCATATATTTGTCTTTACGTCATTAGATAGAGATTGTTTTTCTGAATCCACTGATGTGCAATACATCCACTTTGAATGTAATTTTAGCAGAAAAAAGACACCTGTATATAAACTCTGTCATTTACCTTCCGATTTTTATGAACGAGACAACAAATGAAATGATTTGATGAATGCTATGATTCATGCTACAAATAAACTTTTTCCAACGCCATCTTCGATTTCAAGCGATTATCAACTTTTGATTTTCAAATTGCTCGGTATGTTTTTCTTCACGTTATGGGATAGAAATTGTTTTCTGAGCCCATTGATGTGTTAATGACAATACATTAACATTAATTGTAATTTTAACAGAGAAAAACAATCATAGTATTCATCAAACCATTTCTTTTGATAGCTAGGTCATGAAAATTGGAAGGTAAATGACAGAGATACAGCTAGCGGCGTTCTTGTGTGGCAACCTGTATATACAGGTGTCTTTTCTCTACTAAAATTATATTCAAAATGGATGTATTGTACATCAGTGGATTCAGAAAAACAATCTCTATCCAATGACGTAAAGAAAAATATATAGAGCAATTTGAAAAGCAAAAGTTAATAATCGCTTAAAACTGAAGACGGCCTTGGAAAAAAATTATTTGTAGCATAAATCATAGTATTCATGAAACCATTTCATTTGATAACCCGCTCATGAAAATCGGAATGTAAATGACAGAGTTACAGCTTGGGGCGTTTTTTTGTGTGACACCCTGTATAACACGAAAGTTGCAAAACTTGGTATTTGTTATTAAACGTAATTTCTTCATTCCAACCATACAATAAAGATTTTTTCAAGTGTATTCTTACTTTGTTCTCGTGGATAAAAAGAAAATAACCTAAATTGAAGTACTACATTAAGTAGTTACATATTAAATCAATTTTAATTTAAACATTTTTGTTATTAGGTCAAAGATATTTGCAATGAATTGGAAGTACGATCTCTTTGTCACAAAATCCTCCAGAATGTTCTCATGCTTCTTCACGCCGATAGAGGATCCTTATTTCTGGTTCAAGGGGAAAAAGGCGGAGGATGCACTCCTAGTCCTCCAGGTCAAGCACCAAGAGGTAGGTGCTTGGTTTCAAAACTTTTCGACGTCTGCTCGAAGAGTACTCTCGCGGAAATGGAGAAGAAGGAGGAAATTACCATTCCTTGGGGAACTGGAATTGTTGGATATGTTGCGGAAAGTGGAGAACCCGTTAATATCCCGGATGCGTATGAAGTAAGTTTTATAATTTTTTTTTTCGCCAAGATTTTAGTTTTAAAGTTTAAGTCAACATCATCATCAAATTTTCCGATAAAAGAACAAGATAAAGTCTCCCTCGAGTTTATCGTATGTAACGACGACCGCATCGATTTTGCAATCAAGATAATTAGAGTAAGATGCGATGCTATTTTCTAACTTGGTTTTCTTTCTCCTCCACCATTTTTTTAATTTTTTTTTTGTTACGGTTTCAATTCATTTTAATTATTTCTTTTCGTAGCGCCATAAAATAAATTAACACGAGTACTTGGTGTAATGGTAATTTAATCGTTGTTGATGCTCTCTACCCTACTCCTTTTATCGGTTCCGAAGTAATAGCTCCTTTTAATTTTGTTTGCGGCGGCAACTTCGTTGGCGGCCTCAATTGCGTCACGAAACCTCCCACGTTGATTTTCAAAAAGCTCGACTTTTCATATACGATCATCATCCACGTGTTATTGTTCTTTTTAATTATTGGTAAATACAAAAAAAAAACAATGACATTTTTCTAGTTTAAATTTAGATTTTAAATGTGTTTCAAAAAACGAGACCACCCGCGTTTTAAAATCATCGTCGTGCAATTTACTCCGTCTAAAGTTAAGTTTTATGGCCCCATAACTCCAAATATTACGCGAGCTAAATTCTTTCTCATGCGTGACGAGTTTCTATACGAAATATTCGTTGTAGTCGTTTTGACATGTCGTTGCATCTCCATCCCCTTTATATGGACAAGTCAACAAGTATCAATTCCGCTCGTACGACTCTGAAATCGTACAACGACTCCCAAGCGTATTTTTCACGCTACAATTATTTTGTAACGTGTTTGTTGACTTTGTAATTTATTTAATTTAAATCTATTATAATCAAATAAGCGATACGTTTAAAATAGACATCATAGATGTTATCGGTGAGGCTTATCTTTGGCTATCGATTCAGATTACAATTTGTGATTGGGGGAGTCCCTTGTTTTGCGGTTTTCAAATTAGAACTTACAATGTTAAGCCCCCGCCATAAAATCGAAGGGATTTTAACGAGGATTTTAAAAAACTTTTTATTTTTGTTGTTGAACCAAAATAACAGCGAGAAAACGGTTTCGTGAGGTCGAAAAGATTCCTTGTGGCTCGTAAAACCTTTCTAAACGGAATTGACAGTAAAACTTTGCGATGAAGATAACCGCCTTTTTCGTATAAATTGAAACACGTCAATTTCGTCTTGAAAAATGCACAATTAAACACGAATGTTTCTTGTTTTAATTGTTATTCAATGATTGTTGTATATTTTTAATGAAGTAGAAATAGAAATAACACTAAATTTAGAACTAGAATCATTCGGGTTTAGCCGTCTTAAGAGACGTTCGGCTAAACCCGAATGATTCTAGTTCTAGGTTTAGTGTTAGTTCTAGTGCTAGTGTTAGTTCTAGTTTTAATTGGACCGCGTTATGCATCACTTGGCTAAGCGACAAATGAATGATGTTGGGAGAAACGAGATTTTCATTTTCATCTCTCTAAAAATATAAGACTTCTCAGAATAGATAGGCTCAAATTAACTATTGAAAATTGCTTGTCCATTTTTATCACAGAACACTAATGACAGCTATCACAAGCACAAAAGCCGCTTGGTCACTCGTTACGTTTTACGACCATACAGGGTGTTTCTGTAAGTCGTGGCATAAATGTAATCACTAAAACTAGAGACAAAATGATGACGGTTCGTGTAAAAATTATTGAAGAAAATAAAAGTTGAAATCAGATTATTTACAAGTTGTAAAATGGAATTATGAACGAAGTGTTACAAGTTTACAGTTTTTTAACAAAAGAAATATTAAGAAACTTGGGAAAAAGTCGAGAATCATAATGTGGCTTAAAAATCGACGATTTTTTTTAATCAATAAGAAATGACCCAAAAAAAAACGTTAAAAATAAAAAGAAAGTGTGAAAAAGTGGCTAACACTAGATTAACTTCAATTATAAAACTTTTATTATATGATAACTAACTTCAGGTTTAAAATGTCAACCTCAATTTTGACATATTTGTAATCTTCATTAAAAATCCTTTAAAATGAGTACAAACACGACATATTTATCTTCAATATTAATGAAGTTATGGTCAACTTCCGGTTAAAAATGTCAACGGCAATTTGACAT